CCTCCCAAGTAGCTGGGACCACAGGCGCCCGCCACAATGACCGGCTATTTTTTGGTTGTAGCCGTCATCGTTGTTTGGTTGGCCCGGGCTGGATTTGAAGCCGCCACCTTAGGTGTATGTGGCTGGCACCTTGTAGCCACTTGAGCCACAGGTGCCGAGCCTGAAGAGAAGAAATTGATGGCGCATGGGCTGAGAGCAGGGTGCTAAAGGTAGTTAGTTGGTAATGTATTTGCAGTGTATTGATACAGGTTGAAAACATCCATTCATCACCGCAGCAAGTTTATTGAGAGTCTCCTCTGTGCCAGCACAGTTCTATGTAGGAATGCAGTGATAAACCCGTGGGTGATGTCTTGCCCTCTTGGAGTTACGTTCTAATGTGGGCGGAAAAACAAATAACAGGTGAACCATATAGCGTACCAGGTGGTGGTCAGTACTATAGAAGAAAGCAAGCAGGGCAGGGAGGACAAGAGTGCCATGCTCAGCTTGGAAGGTTGATGAGGCAAGGCCTGACGGTGCAGTGAACATCTTCTGGAAGACCTGAAAGCAGGTATAGTGCAAGACTGCAAGACTTGTGGGTCCCTGGTGCACCTGGAGTGTGCTCAGGGGTCAGAGGTTAGACAAGAGGCAGCAAAGAGAGTCGCACGGCTGGCATGGTGTAAGCGGGGAGAAGCGTAGCAGGAGCCGAGGTGGAGATTGTCCAGACCCTGGCTCAGTTTTTATGCTGAATATGGTGGGAAGGAAGCGGAGGGAGGGTTTGTGTTAAGCAGTGGTCTATCGTGGTGTATCTGACTCATTATTTCTATTCCATATTAAAGGGAGAACATAACTGCCCAACTTAACTGTATCTTAAAATCAAATCATATGTATGCACCATCAGTGTTAGGCCTTCTTTGCCTCTATGTACTAAGCCAGCAGGAAATTCAACTGTTACATTTCATTGTTGTGTTAATTATAGGAAGACAAATTTGATGTTTATATTCTCAGCTATCAAGTAGCAAAGTATTCTAAGAATTCCTTTATTGAAGGATATTTGCCCACGGCCTCCTCTCATAGTAGTGTTCCCAAGAATCACTTCCTACAATTTGTCAGTTTTCTAAGATTTATGGAACTTGTCCTCTTAGTCATTCAGAAATGTTTTACTGTATTTGATTTATTATATCACTTTTGTTGTTGCAGTGAGATGGAAAATTTTCGAGGGATAACGGAAGAGTCATTTCCAAGCTTCTTAACTAATTCATTACTTGATAATAGTGGGACTTTAGAAAATGTCACTCTTTCTTCAAATCTTGGCCTGCCTGTTGCTGTTTCCACACTTGCTAAAAGTAGATCCAGCACTGATAACAGGTAAGACTTGTTAGAGCAGATTTTTTTTCCCCTAGGTCCATAAAACCTACAACATACTGATACTTAAGTAAAATTTTCCAGTCAAGCTTGAGCTTTTTGCTGTATCTATGAAAGAGAGGGCTAGATGATGTACAATGAATGTAGAAAAAGGAACTTGCTGTCTTTTTCCCCATTCTATTTCCTTATCATTGGGTTGTTTTGGGATTTGAGCAACAGTAACTCTTTTTAGTCTGTAATGTATTAGATTTATATTCTTTTTTTCTGTCTGTAATAGATTTGTATTAGTTTAGTCTTACTAATTGTGTTAGCAAGTTCAAAAGGAAAGTCAGTCATAAGCGTTCGGAGTATCTCACAAAATCGAGCAGGAGTGCAGAGCTGTTTCAAGAAGGCACGGAGTCTGGGAAACCATCAGGACTTAGATTTTCTGTCATCTCGCTCTGCTTCTCTATGGCAATGCGTTTTCGTTCTCTTCAATACTGTGGTTTTATCTGCTTTTCTATTCCACATTGCAGAATATGGCAACACAAACTCTTGAAAGATATCTATGGATTACATTTCTGGCTACACAGGAGACTAATGAAATATTCTTAGAATCTCATTTATTACTGGTCCATTCCAAATCCAGTCACCTGTGGCTAGGGTTTGGGGTCAATAGCTGTGTTTAGTGATGTGACATTTTAGTTCGTTTCAGCCAGGTTCACTCTTCACTGGACTTGGTTGGCTGTCTTTCAGCCTTCAGTCTGTCATTGTTTCTGAAATAACTTAGCTATTACTCTAGTATTTTTGAGTCCTGAAGTAAATTTTCTCTATTAGGCACTAACTGGTTTTTAGTTTCTTGACCATTTTTTTTTAAGAGGCAGAGTCTCAGTTTGTCACCCTAGATAGAGTGCGGTGGAGTGATAGCTCACAGCAACCGCCAGCTCTTGGGCTTAGGTGATTCTCTTGCCTTAGCCTTCCTAGTAGCTGAGACTACAGGCACCTGACACAACACCTGGCTTTTTTTTTTTGGCCGGGGCTGGGTTTGAACCCCCCTACTTCCGACATAAGGGGCCGGCACCATACCCTTTTGAGCCACAGGCGCTGCCCTACCTGGCTATTTTTTTTGTTGCAGTTTGGCTAGGGCCAGGTTCAAACCTGCCACCCTCGGTATGTGTGGCCAGTGCCCTACTCCCTGAGCCACAGGCACCGCCCTCTTGACCAGTTTTATAACCAGATAAATGTTTGGTTGCATATTCCTCCCTTATTTTTTGTTTTGTTTCTTTGAGACAGAATTTCACTTGGGCACCCTTGGTAGAGTACCGTGGTATCATAGCTCATAGCAACCTCAAATTCTTGGGCTCAATGGATCCTCTTGACTCAGTCTCCCAGGACTATAGGCACCTGCCACAGCACCTGGCTATTTTTTAGAGATGGGGTCTCGCTCTTGCTCAGGTTGGTCTTGATTGGTGAGCTCAGGCACTCCACCCACCTCAGCCTCCCAAGTGCTGGGAACACAGGCGTCAGCCACCACGCCTGGCTTTGTATTCCCTGTTTTATATCCATTGTGATGTGTGTAGTTCACACATCCATTCCATACAGGGTCTTGGTGTAAAGTTGACTTCAATATCTAATTGCTTTCTATCTTTTCTCAACTCAGATGTTCGGTGAATACTGTAATGTTTTTGTTTGGGATGAAAGGGTTGGCTTAATTCCTAAGCTCTTTATTGAACATACAGATCTTCTATTATAGCTGATCCACGGGTTCTATGCTTTGCATAGAGAATGATAGTTTGGAATACAAGGGTCCCTATTTGTTTTTATCAGCTGGTGGTTTTGCAGTCACACATCCCTATGTCATGGTGAAATTTAAATGTACATAATATAACTCCTAACAATTAAAACAAATTTTTTTTTGTAGGTATCCTGATATCCAGGCATCTTACTTAGTAGAAGGGAGGTTTTCAGTTCCACCGGGGTCATCTCCCAGCAGCCAAAGTGATGGTGAACCCAGAGAGAGGTTACAGCTTAGCTTCCAGGATGACGAGTAAGTTCCTACTTCCATTTGTTTGCACTGTGTTAAAAATGAGTCTTACTCAATTGTGAAAAAAAGTGAGCTTATATTTCTGATTAATTCTAAGACTCTTAGGAGTTTCTGTATGTGTTTTAATCACATTTTTAGTCCTCAAAACATTTTTTCTGATTCTAAAAGTGATATATCCTCACTGAAAAAAATATAATACTGAGCATTATCAGCGAGACAATGAAGCCCTATAATCTAACTAGCAAATAGCCATCGGCTAAATTAAAAATTTTTTTTTATCTTTTTTTTTTTTTAAATTTAAATTGGAAATGGGATCTTACTATGTTGCTCAGGCTGGATATGAATTCCTTTTCTCAGGTGATTCTGAGTTGCTGGGATTACAGATGCACCCCACTGCACCTGATACATTTTCATTTATAGTCTTTCAGACTTTTCTGTGCGCATATATATGTATGTATGTAAATTGTTTTTTCTGGAATGGTATTAAACTGTTACACTATTATTATAACTTATAAAATTTAATATATAGTGGATGGCACCTATAGCTCAAGCGGCTAAAGCGCCAGCCACATACACCACCAGAGCTGACAGGTTCAGATCTGGCCTGGGTCTGTTGAACAGTGACAACTACAAGCAAAAAATAGCCGGGCATGGGCGGTGCCTGTGGCTCAAAGGAGTAGGGTGCCGGCCCCATATGCCAGAGGTGGTGGGTTCGAACTGGCCCTGGCCAAAAACTGCAAAAAAAAAAAAGAATAGCTGGGCATTGTGGCAGGCGCCTGCAGTCCCAGCAACTTGGGAGGCTGAGGCAAGAGAATCGCTTAAGCCCAGGAGTT